AGGGAAAACCAGGCAGGTGGCTGGGAAAGGTCGACAGGAGAGAGAGCAGAGCTCTGAGCCCAGCGAGAACTGCTCTCTACACAGACCCCCATGCTCACGCTCCACCTACAGGAAGCAGAGCTCAGAGCCCCCTCAGGAGTGCAGCCTGGCAGGCACAGGGGACGCCCCGGAAACCGCACCAAGGAAGGCCTGGACCCCCATCAGACGCTGGCGAACGCATCCCCAGGTGCGTGCGTGAGCTGGAGTGGAACGTGTGAGGTGCACGCCGTGGTCGGAGTCGCTCTCCGCCTGCCTCACCAGGGGCACTGGGTGAGGAGGAAGGACCGGGGACACTAACCCTGTGTCACTCACAGAGGCGGGGCTGACCTGCTCCTCTCGCCCGCGTGTCAGAACCACTTTTTAGGAGCAGGTAAAGCCCGAGGTTCTACTTCCTGCCAGCCTTTCCCTCCAGGGTGGTCCTGGCGTCTCCGCAGTCTGTCCAGGACGCCTGCTGCCTCTCCCCGAGGCTGCCCCCTGTGGGCGGACCACCCTGGCTCCCTGGAGGGATGGCGTTTGTCACCCAGAGCGACACAGTGGGTGCTCCTTGTGGCTGAGTGAATACAGGAAGAATAGGCCATCTGTTGGAATCTGCCCAGCTGAGAGATGTCTGTACACATCAGTGGTATGACAGCCATCCTGTGCTGTTAGACTGTGTTCCCCCAAAAGCCGTATGTGAAGCCCAAAGCCCTGGTGCATTTGGAAGGGGGGCCTCTAAGGAAGTCATTGAGGGTCAGTGAGGTCATAAGGATGGGGCCCCAATCAAGAGGACTGATGTCTGAGGAGCCTGCTCTGCGCACGGCCTGGGAGAGGCCATGGCACACAGGAGGCGTCTGCACCCAAGAGAGGGCCCCGGGCCCCGGCCTGCTGGCACCTGGGCTTGCCGCGCCCCCCCGCTCCCCCCCAGCCCAGTGGAAGCAGCGTTGCTGTGTGAGCCCTGAGCCTGGGGTGAGCTGCCGTGGCCCGAGCAGACGATGCACACACAGAGCAGCAGGTCGTTAGTTCTCCTCCTTCATGTCCAGTTGCCAAAGGAGTCTCCGAAGGAAGCAGCCGCTGGCGTGTCACCAGGAGCTGCTCTGCCTTGGAGAAAAGCATTTCTCTGTAATTGTTTCTTTGCTAACAGAATATGCATCACTGCCATAGGACAAGCCGCCGCCGCCCCTGCCCCGTGTGAGTCCGCATTCCGAACGGAGGAAGCTGTTTGTTGGCACAGCCAATAGGACATGAGTCTGTAGGGTTTAACAAGAGGCTGGGCTCTGTCACTCCTCCATCACCGGTCACTCCTGTTTGCAAGAGGTGGGAGGCTCACTGCAGTTTGCCTACCTTCCTATGGGAAAAGCAAGCCATTCCAGAACCTTCCAGCAGACTTCCTTGGTCTCATTGGCCATGGTGACATCGCAGGCTCAACTCTGGTTTTGAGAAGCTGAGAAAAGTACCGTCAACCTTGAGCAACACGGGTCCACGTATACGCCAGATTTTGTCAATAGTGGGCCCTTCCTAGCCATATGTTTGGTATTTGCAGATTCAACCAACCACGATTCCAAAGTGTTTTCTATTCAACCTTGAGAATCTGTGGTTACAAGTGTGAAAATACTTTGGTTCTTGGTTGTTTGGATCCGCGTATGGGGAGGGCTGGCTGCAGACCTCGTGAATTTACTCGTGAATTTCTGACCGATGGGGTTCAGTGCTCCCGGCCCACATTGTTCAAAGGCCACTGTACCTTAGTCCACCCACTTCCCATTTCAGGGCGATGCAACCTCTGCTGGGCGGGCTCGTCCGGAGTGGTGGTTGCTGTGCAGCATCTGGAGGCCGTGCCCGCAGCTAGCTCCAGGGGTCCCCCCATTATGGTCCTGGTCACCCCAGGGTGTGCTTACATTCCGTACTTCACCAAAGGCTTCACACCACCCAGCACCAATACCTTAGACTGCAGTGGGCAGGCTGCCCTGGACCTGAGGCAGCCACACCTGTCCCAGCGGAACCCCACCTCCACCTCCTGACAATGGGGCTGTGCTGCTCGGTGGTTTGCTGTGCGCGGACGGCAGTCTGTCAGTGCGCCAGTGGCAGGATCTGCTCTCCTGTGCGGCTGAAGTGGAAGCATCGTGTTCATCGCCGCTGTGCCCTGGCCAAGAGCCTGCCGGGCCTGAGCAAGCACGGCCAGGCTGGCACTCCGCAGGCTGCTCAGAAAGGCCTCTCAGCAGAGCCCTGGTTCTGGGCGGGCATTGGCATCAGTGGCAGTGCAGTGCGTGCCAGGTCAGGCTGTGACAAGTTCCTACCTCACATCGTCTGAACACTGGAATCTGGGCTCTGTCAGAACACAAGCATGTATGTCGTAGCAGAGCTTCCACAGGGAGGAGACTGGAGTGAAGGTAGAAAAACGCAGTCCCGGCTGCACACAAGGCTGACTCACCAAGTTTCGGGTCACGAGCTCCTGGCTCAGACCCGCCAGCGCACCAGGAGGGAGGGGACAAGTCCTCAGATAAGCACTGCCCATTGCTCAGGTGTCTGCAGAGCTGAGGCCACGGACTTGCCCACTAACACAGCCTCAGCCTGGAGGACCAGCCCTGGAGGGCAGCTAAGCCTGCCTTCCCAGGGGAAGCCGACAGCGTGGAGGGCGAGGCAGCCGGGCCTGCGGGAAGCTAGTGTGTCTGCGACGCTCTGTGAAGAGCTCCCGAGGACAAGGTGATTTTGTCTATTTCCTAATCTCCAAATCCCTCTGTTCTTCTAAGCCACACATCCAAATCCTTCCCAGACTAAGGCCCCAGTTCACAACAATACTGCAGGCAGTTGAAGCAGATTAGGAGGATGGTTTATCGGAGGAACAGTTCGCTAGATAAATGTGCTTGAAATGGCTAATGTCAGCATGGCAGACAGATAAGCATTTAAAAATGCTACGTTTCATGGTGGTACTACCTGTACGTCAAGTGAGTTTTTCCAGGGTTAAAAGATTACCCAGGAAGAGTTCTGTTTGTTTTGTTCAGTCTTTTATTAACGTTGGGGGCATCTGAAGTACCTCCCACCCTTTCACGAAGACGTGCTATAAAGTGTGAATGGGAAACACGGTCCCATCGTGCAAAGCCGCGCTGACTACAACCAGCTCACACGATGGGCGTGGGGAATGGGACAAGGAGGCGGGGGAAGGGTATCAACATCGGACACAGCTTCCGTCGCACTGAGAAATAATTTATTAAACAAATATCACACTGGGAATCAAATGCATTACAAAAGTAAAAAAGTAAATTCGATAAAGTGATAGTGGCTGACGTAATCAATGAGTTTTCCTTCACTCCCCCCAAACTTTAATAACCATCTTCCGAAAGGCCCGATTGTGCAAGTGTGTGGATCACTGTAAACAGATGGTTAGTGTTATAATATCTGGAATTTAGTGAAGATCATTTCCATTCGACTGAAAATCACATTAATTTAAATGACTGGTCTCTATACACCCTTTTTCAGCCTGGAAAAATGTCTCGACGAGGGAGCAGGTGTCGGTCCGCTGCCCCAGGACAGAGCACACGCGGCCCGCCCTGCGGAAGACAGCCTGGACGGAGCTCCCGATGGCATTCTGACAGACCTTTAACACGTGTGGAACTTGGTTAAAACGCAGCCTTCTTTCCAGATCAAAGGCCAACAGCGACCGCTGGATCTGCTCATCTGCGCGAGTGGAATTTTAAATAACCCGTCTCAGCACAGTCACCGAGACACGGCACCTTCCAGCCGTGAGCAGAAATGGGGCTGGCCACTCCATTTCCCGGCAAGTTCCCCTCCGTTTCCAGAAAGTATATGGAGTTCAATACGCCAACTGGGATCTCAAAATGCTAGCATGAGTATGATGCTTATTAACAGCAGTATGCAAAACAGTAGAAATAAAGTAACTTCTTATCATACAAATGAAACAAGGCACTTTTGACAACTGTCCGCGAAGCTGACTCCCAGACCCCAGGAAACTTGTAAAAAGTGCAGGCCCTTGCTCTACTCACTAAAGAAATTCACCACTTCAACTTGGCACGGAAGAGTTTAATTACCATAAAGTGCATCACTTGGCTAAATATATTAAAAAGAAAACCGGCCAAGAATAGATTATAGTAACATATGTACACATATGGGAATAACAAGGAATTCCAGGAGCCAACATAGTTAGGAACTTTATAGTGTGTGTGTGTGTGTGTGTGTGTGTGTGTATGTATATATATATATATATATATATATATATATATATATATATATATATACACACATATATGTCTTTTTTTTTTTAATAACTCCCTATTTACTCAGAATCTCTACTTTCAAATGAGTATGCCTTGATTAGCAAAAAGAGGTAGTGTTCTGAAAGAGGCAAACTCCTGAATCTACAGGTAAAGATTTAAGATGAAGATTATGTGGAAAATAAACAAGTATAACAATAACCTGGAATGCTTAGTATAGTATTTTGATATTAATGAATTACAGGCTATTTAAAATAAAGGCTATTTTATGTATTACAGCTCTTTCAAATAATTTTCCTTTGGTACCAGAAAGCCTCCTATTTTTAAATAGCAGTAATATTGTAAATAAGCAATATCTATTTGGAGATGGTAAACATGTAAATATTTAGAACAATTCTTCACCACTGACGTGAACTGTCAGGGAAACCATATCATGTCAGAGGCACAAGGGAGTCTATGATAGCAACATGCAGTACCTTGCCATCTGACTAACATGACTGGTAATTTAAACACACCTTAGTTTGGGGCAATATACTGGCAAAACACCAAAATAACTTATGCACACTATAAATACACAGATTGAATAGAAGACAGTTTAAAGCATCAGTGAATATATTTCCTATCCCAATAACTTCTCTTTATGTAAACTTTATACACACGCATTCTTGCTGTTTTCTGTGGATGCTTCAGTCTCTTTACTTTTCACACCGGCCGCTCTGCTGGGAGGGGCTGAGCTCAGAAGCGGAGGCAGTGCCGTGGTCAGTCCTCCTCGGCGTCGTAGGCCACTTCGGCCACCTCCACCTCCGCTGCGCAGGCTCCGGGCGCTCCGGGCCGGCAGAGCGGCTGGTCTGCAGCTCTGTGAAGAGACGCGTCAGTGTCAGTGGGGTGCATGCTACACCTTTAATGATGGAAGAACACTGAAATATTAATCAGAAATGTAACGTTATTCACGTGTCAGTGCCAGAGAACTTTCTGGAGATGCATTTTTAATTCCTCAGCTCTCCCAACAAACACTTATCAATAATAATTAGTAATTATCCTACAAGCAAATTTGTTGTCATAATTATAGCTCAGCCATTATCACTGAAGTATTAATAATTAACTTGGCCTTGTATGCAATAAAAATTCAATGGGCTTTAAAAAATACGATTTTTTTTGTCATTCTCGTCGTGGAGGCAGGGTGCTGGCGAGTACAGTGCCCATACCGAGAATAGGAAAAGATTGACATTGTGGGAGATTTAAGTAATTTATCAGGATTTACAAAAAAATTAACTGATGCACAGCCCACTTCAACAGACAGAGCTTCATTTTCAGTGATAAGAAGATGCACAGAGAAGCCGAAACTGGTTTGGCTCAGTGGATAGAACATCGGCCTGCAGACTCAAAGGTGCCAGGTTTGATTCCGGTCAAGGCACATTCCCGGTGGGGGGTGTGCAGGAGGCAGCTGGTTGATGTTTCTCTCTTATCGACGTTTCTAGCTCTCTATCCCTCTCTCTTCCTCTCTGTGAAAAATCAATAAAATATATTAAACAAACAAACAAACACACTGAGGGACGCCTGAGCCTCGTGTGTAGGACGGCCCAGAACCCCACCGTCCTGTCCGCCCAGGAGGTGAGGACGCAGTGTGCAGGGAGCCCATAGATCCCCTTGGAGCCCTGGAGCACTCCCCCCAATGCCAAGGCTGGGCTGCCAGACTGACGTGCCGCACCTGCTTTCTCCACCCAGGACTTCCGGCTCAGCCCCCAGAGCAGGGGCCGCCGCCTTCGGGACGCGCTGGCCTTCGGTGCTTGACCAGGGCGGCTCCTCCCGGTCTGAACACAGCGCCCTGCAAGGGAATGACAGCTGCACGTTACCTTCTCACCACCACTCCGGCTAAGACGCTCCCTGCGGGGGCACTGAGCTCTCCTGACATCGTCAGGCCTGAACGCAGCCCCCGGCTCAGGAGGCCACAGAAACATTAGTGCTCACGCTTAGTTTAGAACGAGATTAGCACTGATACATGGTGACGAGCAGGCAAATTGGAAGTTTGCTGTGAAAATCTGGCATATATGCCTAGAAACAAAGAGACCATTTACATAGTTAAAATGAGTAATGTTTATCCTGTTGAACAGAAAGGGGCTTATTATCCTGTTGTTTCCCATCCTGCAAATGCTTGGGCTCCTAAATAAATAATCAAAGACAATTTTCTCAATCTACAAGGAAGTACGCCTGGCGCCTCTGACTTCGGGATTAGAAATTTCCTACATCCCCGAAAATACATCTACCCCGGAGCACTGCGAGCTGCCTGGGTCTGCTGGAAGCACAGGCATGGCAACACACCTGATCCTGCTCTCTAGCGTGTCTATACGAAGTTGCTTCTCACCGAGCAGTTTCTTCAGCGACTCCACCTCTTTTTGTTTTTCCAGTAATTCTTTCTGAAAACGATAGTTTGTGTCCTCTAAAGTTTCGCAGAAAGCCTTCGAAACAAACAAACAAAAGTCAAGTGCAGGAAAAAAAGTTAATTACGTATATGGTGTCTTTTTCAAGATCATGAGAACTCAAGGAACATGGACAATCAAGATAGCAGCTTGCCACCTGAACAGCTTGTCTGTATCTTTTCTGGTCTCTGCTATCTTAGCTCTCCGTCTGAGGAGATATGTGGCAGACCCTTCAGTGCAGAATGAAAAGTTACTAACACCACTGTATGTATGAGTTTTCAGTCTCCTTAGTCCATTTTTGCCACGTCCTAAGTAATTATATTTAAAAAACCTGAGGCTATTGATTCCATTTGTATTAGTTCGGTAACAGCAAACAGTAAATCCAAAAGAATCTACAAACTAATGAAGATTTTAATTCCTCAGCACTATTAACCAAGGATGTGACATATAAAATAAATATACAAAAGTCAATAATATAAAAGCAATAAATCAGAATATAATAAAAATATCTATTATGATATAAAAACATGAGAATAAATCCTACAGATTGTCTTAGAAGTTTAAGGAAAAAATTTAAACCTTTATTGAAGGACTTAAAAAAAGACCTAAGTAAGCAAAGATCTCCAGGAAGATTCACTCCTACGAAGGCAGCACTCTTCAGCCTTATGGAAGAGCATGTAGTCAACTTAAAGAACAAGACAGGAACCCTTACCTGCCAGACACAGAGATGCCAAAGCCACAAAATGAACAAACCATGGACTAAACAAACAGACCACCTTAACAAAAAACAGAGGGGGGGGAGGGAGAGAGAGAGAGAAAGAGAGGGAGAGGGAGAGGGGGAGGGGGAGAGGGAAAGAAGAAGAGGGACAGAGGGAGAACGAGGTAGATTCTGGATTTGAAAAGTACAATAATTGAAATGAAAAATCAGCAGCAGTCTGGAGATGTCAGATTGAATCAGTGAGCTTGGAGATGGATCAATATAGAAACTGTCCAACTTGAAGAACAAGGAAAAGAAGTGACTGAAGAAAGTGAGCAGCACCTCAGAAGTACAATATGAAGTGTGCCAACAGCCACGTCACAGGAATCCCAGAATGAGAAGGGTGGGGAAAGGACGGAAAACAAATCATGGCCAACAGCTTTCCAGGTGTGATGGTGAGCATTAATCTGCCAAATCCAAGAAGCTCAATGAGCCACGATTTGATAAACACAGAGAGCCATACCCCAATCCGTCACAATAAGCTGCTGGAAGTCAGAGAAACAAACCGCCCGGAGAGCAGCGGGGCGCTGTGCCCGGGGGGCGGAGGAGGCCGCCAGAACCACAGGCCGCCGGCCACCGGGAGCACGGCGCCAGAGGCACAGGGCGACACTGCACACCGCTCCGTGCTTCCAAAACGGCCTCCTCAGAAGAACGAAGCCTGGGATTTGCTGCCACAGACCCGCCTTACGAGAGAGACCACGTGAAAGCCCTGGAGCTGAAAGGACCGACTGACACCAAACGTAACACCGACCGCAGGAAGGAAGCAGTAAGTCTGAGGAAAGACGGAAGAGTGTGCAAATATTCTTTCTCATGTCTTCTCTTAGGTCCTTCCAAAGACAAAGGACTGTGAAAAGAAATAATCCCTGCACTGTACTGGCAGGCAGAGGTTATAAAATATACAACAGCAGCAGCCAGAGGGAAAGGCAAAGAGAACAGTCTGGAGCCAAGCGATTAATTCCTTGGAATTAAGTTCTACTCTGAAATAGACTGCGTTAAGATGAGCACTATAATACCTCAAGCAGACACTAAAAAATAATGAAGAAATAACTAAGAAAAACATAAAAATGTCTACAGAGGAATCATAATGGCATCCTTACCTGTTTCACACAATTAAATGAGGCAGCTAAGGGGAAGAAGATCCAAACCGACGAGAAAGAGGAAACAAACTGCAAAACGGCAGATGTAAAGGGCGGGTATGTCAGAGCGGATCAAAGACCACCCCACCCACGTGCGATGCGCGAGACAGATCTGAGAGAGACAAACAGCGTAAAGCGAGGGATGGGAGCAGCAGCCGTGAGAGTGGCAGTAATAGGACTGCGATGTCGCCAGGAGGACAGGGAACTAGATCAGTGAAGAAAATTAAAAGTCCTTCTATTTCCATTTGACGTTTGATAAAAGTTTCAACACAAATCAGTCAAGGGAGTGACACAATTAGGTATCGATAGGAACTTAAGACTCTTACCTCACACCTTACAGAAACAGTGTGGAGCTGAGCCAGAGACCTAAACTATAAGACGTCTAAGAAAAAAAGTAGGAAAAAAAATCTTTGTCACCCTGTATTAGAGGAGTTCTTCTGATACAACACAAAAAGCATAAGCCATAAAATAATAAAATGAACTTCATTAAAATTAAAAAACATTAACACTTCAAAAGACCAATAAGAAGATGAAAAGATACATACAGACTGGAAGAAAATATTTATAAATGATGTATCTGATAAAGGACTTGTCTCCAAAATAAAGAACTCTTACAACTCAATAAGACAAACTAAAAAAATGGGCAAAAGGCTTAAGTAGTCAATTCACCAAAGAAAAGATGAATGATTAAAAAGTGATCAACATAAAAACATAGTATTATTTCATCAACGCGCTTGTCAGAGACGCGCTGGCCTCACTCCTCGCTCTGCAGCCTCTCGTCCACTCTCTCCGCACACACGGAACAGGCCACGTGCAGGCAATGGGGAGTGGGCAGGATGGAGGAGGCTTGCTCTGCTGAGAAGGGCAGACAGCTCATCTTGAGACACTTGGAGCCTATGGGAAGGGAGACCCAGTGGCGCCAGCTCTACTGATCTTTCGAGAGGAGCTGGGATGTAAATTTTAAATGTAAAATCACCCTAATTTTTAAAGCCTAGAAAAAAAGAAGGAAAAATTATTTGTGAGGAAACTGGAACTTCATACACTACTGGAGAGAATGTAAAATGGTAGACATTTTAGGAAACACTTTGCAAGTTTTTAAAAAAAGTTAAACATGATTTGCCATATAACCAAACATTCCTCTCCTAGGAATCAACTCAAAAGAAATGAAAGCATAGGTTCTCACAAGACTGTTCCTAACAGCGCAAAACCGGAAACAGTCCCACTGTCCCTCTGTGGTGACTGGGTAAGCAAGATGTGGTGTATTATACAAAGTAAACCACTCAGTAATAAAATATTGATCGAGGCTATAGCACAGATAACTCAAAAACATTATGCTAAATCAGTGGTCAGCAAATTGCAGCTCACGAGCCACATGCGGCTCTTTGGCCCCTTGAGTATGGCTTTCCACAAAATACTATGTGCAGATGCACACGTATAGTGGGACTGAAACTTCGTGGCCCATGTGCAGTTCGGCTCTCAAAAGAAATTTCAATCGCTGTACTGTTGATATTTGGCTCCCTTGACTAATGAGTTTGCCAACCACTGTGCTAAAAGAAACTAGATGCAAATATTATATGTTTTTATATATAATGTATATAATGTTATAAATACTGTACATATAAATTATATAACTGAATACTGATCTTATATAGGTACACACACATACATACATACATACATATATATATATATATATATATATATATATATATATATATATATATATAGTGTGACTGTATTTATATGAAATATCCAAAAAAGGCAAATTTGCGAGTGAAAGCAGACCAGCGCTGTCAGGGGCTGGGGACAGACCGACTAAACAGCTGTAGGATTTTCCAGGTGATGGGAATTTCTGAAACTGCATTATGGCAGAGCTCTAAAAACGTACTAAAATTATTAAATTGTACATTCACAGTGGAATAGCAAATAGCAACTTTTATGGATAAAGACTTCAATAAAGCTGTTTCTAAACAGCCATGGTATTCACTCTAATACAAAGAACTGACTCAGTTTAATTGAAAACATTACAAACCTACCAATTAAATCTGTTCCACTTAAGCACCATTAAACATTTGGGGAAAAACTTAGAGAAAAATTCTAGCTAATCTATTATTACCAAATCTGCTGGGATAATCTAGCCAATTGCTTCAAGAAATAGGCCACTTTACCACGTCAATTAGTGTAATCTGAGCAGCATCAAGCTCGGCTGAGCTGATAAGAAGACAATACCTTCTCCCTCGGAAAGTGAGCTTTCACTTTGATTTTCACTGTAGGTTCTGGACTTTGATACTCAGATGGAAGAAAAGTCAACATACAAATAGCCCTTTTAAATGCAGTAAAACAAATTTGCAAATAATTTTTTTTGAAACAGTAAAAATAGAGGATAAAATGCAGGACTTAGTTTTAGAGTACACTGATGATGCGACATATATGAGTTTTATGTTTTCACTGAAGCAGGCCCATGCATTTCACTGAAAGAAACCTCTGGCTCAGACACCAGAAAGCTTTCTGTGCAAAACCGCCCGGTGTGAGTTATGATGTCTGCCGTCTGCTGTTCCCTCCCAGGACACCGCGTTACTGGGCCGAGCTGTGGCTCCTCTCTCCATGGACACGCACACGGCACTCACCCTGCTCTCCTCCAGGCTATCGAATGGCCCCGGTGGATCGTCCAGACAAAGGAACTCCCTCACCGCCAGGCTTTTCAGAGGGAAAGGACAATTAGCCGGGGCACAAATAAGCTTACAAAGACCGCAAAAAGTAAGTGACTTTGAAGTTATACAGTGTTTTAAGCAAGTGCTGCTGATATACCAAAATAAACTAGCCGTGTTACGTGGCTTCATACAAGTAATCAAACTTAGACATAAAACATATAGAAGCTGCAGAGATTCCAAACTATTTTCTAAGATCTTATGATCATACATAGAGATGGGGAATTTATGCTACTTAAAAACTACAGGATAGCCGAAACCGGTCTGGCTCAGTGGATAGAGCGTCGGCTTGCGGACTGAAAGGTCCCAGGTTTGATTCTGGTCAAGGGCATGTACATTGGTTGCGGGCACATCCCCAGTAGGGGGTGTGCAGGAGGCAGCTGATCGATGGTTCTCTCTCATCGATGTTTCTAGCTCTCTGTCCCTCTCCCTTCCTCTCTGTAAAAAAAATTAATATATAAAAAAACCCCTACAAGATATAAAACATACTTTGGAATAATGCTAAAAGGAGCAATCTAAGTGGTGAATAGATAAGAGATGATGGTATATTTTCAAAGGAATGTCAGCTGAAGCAGTCTAAAAAGGCATTACCCAGTCAGGGAGAAATACTATTCTAAGTTACATGTCACTTGTTTCTACAGTGACATCTCAAGTATTTACTCTGAAAAAAGCTAAGAACTTTCTTGCAATCTTTTTTAATTTACTTCAAATATTTTTCCTTAAAGAGTTCAAGGGAAAAGTTCTGACCATGCCATTGCTGAATTACCATTAACTTTTGAAATAATGAAATATGGTATTGTTATGTTTATACTCCGGAATTATCAGAAATAGGTTAAGAGTGTAGGTGATAAAGCTCCCTTTTTACAAAAATAGTCCACTCTCTAAAAGCAATTTTGGACAGAGACAACTCTGTGCATGTTAAAACATAAATTGGATATTTACCTTTTAAGGCATAAAGGACAGGAATGTAATTTCTAATGCGCTTTATAAAGGAGATGCTGACCTATGCTGAAAAGGGAATGGGGACTGTGGGTTCGGTTCAGGCCAGATAGGTTGATGATGACAGGGATGGCCATAAAGAGAAAAATGGAATTTTTAGTGAAATCTTCCCAAAGAAAAACAACATGAATTAATACAGAGGAGTAGTGTCAAGGAAGCAATCCAGAAGATCTGAAAGAGGAACAAAGTTCTGGGCTATAAAATCGTGACAATATAATAAAACAAAGACACACAGTCAAGGAAACAGGAAGCTGGAGGTCCCATACCCAGGGAAGAACAGAGACGGAGGGATCTTAATGAGGTGGAGCTTTGAGCTCCATGGCTTGCTTTCCATCCCTTTAACATGTTCAGCCAAGAAACACATCCCGAAATGGGGACTAATCCATCCTCTGTTTGAACCACTGAAACTTATCCCTTCCCTGAGCTGCGACTTGCCTCCTGGCAGCTTCTATTCAGGAGTCAGTTCTGCTTCTTGGGACCCTTTAAGATAAATCTAAGTCCTCTTTCACATGATAACCCTAAAATGTCAACGGTGTTATAGTTTCTCTAGCCTCAGTCTCCACGAAGCAATACTGATACACTAACATTTCCTCTCCTTTTCATATCACAAACTTAATTGACTACTTAAAGCTTACAGGGTCTCTGCATTCATGAAGCTAACATTTTTTTTCCAGATTTACTGAGGTGTAATTACAAATGCACACATTTAAAATGTACACCTGGATTTGATATAGTATGCACATGTTGTAGATGGTAATCAAGCTAATTAACATTTACATTACCTCACATTTCCCAAGTACACTGTACACATAGGGCAACGTATCTTATTTTATTTAATTTTCACAACAATCATGTACAGTGATGATAGGCACTATTTCCACTTTTACAAATGATACCAAAGTTCAGAGAGGGAAAGAGACCCACTCAAGGTCACACAGCACGGCAGCTCTTAAGTATCTTCTGAGTATAAACATGTGCCTTTTCTATCTTTAAATTCTCTTCTATTTTGGTTCACTTGGATTCTCTGCCCTTGCCAGGCACCTCTCTCACCACGCTCAACCAGCCTGTCCCTCGTTGATGGAGGTTTAGAGAAAGAAAGGAAGGAAAGAAAGGAGAGGGAGTTAGGGAGTTTCTGGAACACTGCCATGATCTGATAACACGGAGAACAGGACCACCTTCGTTTTTTGGTTTAGATATTATACTTCCCACCTGCACTTTATTTCTATTGGAAAACCATCTATTAGGCAGAAATGAGCTACAGGAAATGAATTATCTTGAGATTGAGAAGTCAAAAGTTTGGATGAAACCCTGAGATATTGGCTTTTAAGATTGAAAAGCAGTGCTGAGCAGCGTGGGGAGGGCCTTTTAATACTTTCAGTGTTTGACAGCGTAACCTGAGACATCATTTTTTCATGGGCCTAGACCCCGGATGTCTTCATCCTTTAGTAACAGTTTCATGTTCACAAATTTCTCTAATGACTGGAAAGCTGCTGGAGGAAATGAAAACGTGGTGAGGGGATTCACGTCTCTTTTTATACCTTTACTTTATAGTAGCAATTCTGCCACGACCAGCAGCGATGCCCACAGGGACATGGCTGTACGAATCTGTTTTGGGAAGTTTTCCATTTCATTCTCCTTCCCTAGACATCCTCATGACCTACGGCTCACAGAGCTCCACTCAGATCAAACCCAATGGACTCCCTAAGTTTTTTTTTTTAACATCACCTGAGGATATGTTTATTGATATTTTAGAGAAAGAAAGGAAGGAAAGAAAAGAGAGGGAGGGAAGGAAGGAGGGAGGGAAATTTTTTCCATGGACAGGTTCAACTCCATCCCTAATCTCGCTCCTCTGGTCAGCCCTTTACTGGGCGCTTTTGCTGGAGCTGATGATGGAGTCAGCCAGGCACCAGGACAGGGGACCTGACCGACGGGACCCCAACACCTGGAACTAAAGGGGACAAGCTCAGCAAGGCCGGCCCCTTTTGTTACCTAGGGCAGTGGTCGCCCACCGGTGGTCTGTGAGGCCTGAAAGGCTGGCGACCGCTGACCTAGAACCTAGAACCATCTTCGGACTGGGAACCGGAGGTAAATCAGGCCCAATGCTGCCTCCCGGCCTGGAGAGGAGCCACCGGTGGCCTCCTCCCGCCTGGCTTATCATCCTGCAAATGTGTCTTAACTTAAACTCTTCCTCCGAGCCTCTTAAAAGTCTTACTGTGTTTTCAAACTTCTTCAAAAACTGCTTCTTCTAGTGAACCTTCACCTTCTATTTGTGCTTTATTTTCCTTTTCTTTCATAGGTATGTATCAGTTTACATCTTACAATTAAAAAAAAAGCCCGTCATTTAATAGCTAAATGTGCTCTTTATCCTCAATATTATACTTTAAAAATAAAATACTGCATGTGGACCTGAGCGGGCAGTTCCTTTCTTAAGGAAAGTGCGGGCAGTGGGCAGAGGCCTCAGGCAGCCATTGCGCCTGGGCAGCACACACTAAGAAGCACGCTGTGTGTTACGTTTACCAGGTGATATAAAAAAACGGAGATAAAAGGGTAGACCAAGTGAGACAGGATGGCTTTCTTGTCTTCCATCCTTATGCAACAAACTATTACAGTAACAGACACAGGTATCTGTATATGCTATCACTGCCTTGCAAATGCTCTCTACTTTTTTCCAAAATAGTTTTAATTTACCTGATAATGTAAGTTCCAAAATTAGATACTCAGCTGGTATTAAATCACAAAGCCACTTTCTTTCATATTGAGAAGCAAAAACCCAGATAGATCCTTTCTCTCCCTTTATAATGGTTTTTGGTATTTCCGATTTATCTTCTATATAAATTAACCCAATTTCACAATTTTCATATTTTATATTACTTTAAAAAACATAGAATATATTACTCTAAAAATTATATAGTGTCATATTAACAAAAAATATGAAGGCCACTTAAAGTGATTGCTAAAATACTAAAAACTAAAAATCCAGTTAACAGTTGAGTGGTCTGAATAGATGATATGCTGAATTTTTAACTTTGCTGACTTTGTGAAAGTGTTAATACAAATCAAACACCATATAAAGTCCTTATTGAAAAAAAGCAAGAGAGCCGGGACCGGTTTGGCTCAATGGATAGAGCGTCGGCTTGGGGACTGAAGGGTCCCGGGTTCGATTCCGGTCAAGGGCATGTACCTGGTTGCGGGCATATCCCCAGTAGGGGGTGTGCAAGAGGCAGCTGATCGATGACTCTCTCTCATCGATGTTTCTAACTCTCTGTCTCTCTCCCTTCCTCTCTGTATAAAATCAATAAAAATATATTAAAAAAAAAAAAAAAGAAAGAAAAAAAACAAGAGAATTCCAGGCAGTGTTTGTTAGTGGACAAGTAATTATACTTATTTTATAAACTTTGTTCCCCTGTGCATGGTCCTAGGCTTATTCTTTGGTTTTAACTAGTGCTGAAATGCATTTACAGCCTCTTATTTCAGTTTGTTACGTACCAGTGTGCAATGTCCTTGTGAGCCACTAAATTTTGAAGAAATGCTTGCAATCCTAATTTTCTATCTTCTAAAAAGTCGGCGTTGTAATTATCTTTAAACCAGCGTTTTGGTGGAAGTGCTAATCGAAAGCCTGGAAACATCTCTTTTAACTGAAAAAGAAGAAAAAAGAATATACATTGTTCAACCTCGTTATACCAAGTCTACAAAATCTACCTTGTTGACTAGGTGTAACTGTTCACGAAATAAGCTTAAAACAAAAGAACTGAATCCAGCAAAGCTTTCTGCTCCTTGTTTAACTTTTTGATTCTCCCAGTTGTGTGTACACAGGAGTGCCAGCTGCTCCACCTCCTTGCCAACACCTGCACCGTGCGCTGTCTTTTTAATGGTGGCCATTCTGGGGGTGTGAAGTGCGGTTTTCGCCTTGGCTTTGATGTGCAGGCTCTGCTGACAAATGGTGCTTATGTGCATCTGTACTAGCATATCGTCTTTGGTGAATTATCTATTCATATCTTTAGACCCTTCACTTTTTAGAAAAAAATTTAGTTATTTGTATTTTTATTAAGTTGTAAGAGTTCTTTTTATACACCAAATATATGTCCTTTATCCTATGTATGACATTTTTCTCCCAGATTGTGACCCATTTTAACACTCGTCACTGAGCGTATGTTTAAAATTTTAATGTTATCGAATTCATCCACTTTTGTCTTTTATGGGTCATGCTTTTTTAGATCCTAAGAAATCTTTGCTCACTTGAAGGTTGCAAGGATATTCTTTTGTTTTCTCCTGGACATTTATAGTTTTAGTTTCTACATTTTGGTTTATGATCCATTTTACATGTTTGGCTTAAATTTTACTTTCTTAGGGAGAGACTTTTCCGAACTGCTAAGCTGTGTTAGATTTGCCTTTATACACTCTGTTCGAGTAACTAACTGTGTAACAAGTCACCTCAAAACACAGTGCCGTAAAAGAACCAACTATTAGGCCAGGGACTCTGTGGGCACTTAAGGCTGGCTTATCTCCGTTCCACAAGAGCTGGGAACTCAGCTGGAAGAGCTGAGGGTAGGAGCTGGAATCAACTGAAGGTCACGCCCGCCTGTGTAGAAAATGATGCGGGCTGCGGGCTGAGACCTTGCGTGGTATCAGCCACCATCTTAACGTGGAATGTCTTGGACTTTCTCACAGCACAGAGGCTGGACCTCCAGGGGGAACATCCCAAGACAGGAAGTCAGGATGAAGCTGTGTACTTCGAATGGCCTGGCCTAGACAGCCAGCATCAGTGCCTCTGTCCTTCATTGGTTGAGTAGCACAAGCGCACCAGGTTCAAGGGGAGGGGATATAGATCAACCCCTTGATGGTCAGTGGCAAGATTCTGGAAGAGCATATGGGACTGAAAGTATTGCTGTGAACATTTTTAGAAAAAACGACCTACCACAAATTCGCAAATCACCAACTTATTTTTGAATGCCATTTGTCACAATGTAAATAGGTTTATTTAATTCTGGACTCTCCTAGGCCAGTGATTCTGAACCTTGGCTGCACACTGGAATCACCCAAGGAGCTGTGAAAGGTGTTAATGACTACGTCCTACTAACAGGTTTGCATTTAATTAGCTGGGTGTGGCCTGGTAACTAATTTTAAGAAGCCTCCGGGGAAGTCCAAAGGACATCTGGGGTTGAAAGCCACTGACTGCTCTGCGATGATTTGTCATACTCACTGCTGCATCTCTCATGCCCAGGACGGTGCCGGCTGCAATATAGCAGTCAGTAGTCTATGTTCTCTAAGTGCGTGAACGACATAAAACCGTGTACATTCATGTTTCTGTTCTTAAATGTAAAACTAAATGCCACAAGGAAAGAAAAGAGTGACCAAAGGGAAAAATCCACAGCATAAAATGTTAAGTAAAAACATAAAAAATCATGTTTTGTCTATATTTCTATAAATATGTGAAGATAAAACAAACAAGACAAAAACCGGAAAGCAACCTGGACTATTGAAAACTTTGACTTGATTTCAAGATGTAATTAGATATTTTTGGTCTTGGAATTTTATTATTTAATGTTGGTAGTGAAAATAATAAAAGTCGTGAAGAGGAAATAAAAAGTCTTTTTATTAAGTTTGAGTATTAAAATTTAAATGTCCCATATGACCTCAGGCATACTTAGGCATTTTTCCTCCTTAAAAATTATCCTTAGAGGAAGAAGATGTCCCACAATTAACTCCTCACAAAGTGTTTATATTATGGGTACTGTGTATTATACATTATGGGTAATTAACAACTTTATTTTGAATAAAGTACAACTTGGAAACTATACATTAGCTTAAAATAACTTGAATAAATGCTATTTTTTAAAATCTTTTATTATATTAAAACAACACATTTCCTGCAAACATGACATCATAACAGGCAGTTGATGTTTCTAAAAAGGAGTCTCCAAAAAGGACCCATGACTTCTGCCCTGTGCCGCTGGTGTGATTGCACCAATTTCTCAGTACAGGGATTCTGCAGCTGTAACTGGCTTCACTGTTGCTGACCTGGGCACAGGGACATTATCTGTGAGCCTAATCTTATCTCAGGAGCAGTTGAGGTTGAGCTTCCTTGTGCTGGTGCAGAGGAGAAAGTCTGAGATGCCAGGAGGCCCGGGCTCCCAGCTGCTGGCTGGGAAGCCGGCGGCCGCACCGGGACTGAGGGCGGCTCCGGAGCGAAGCAGCACCTCTGGCTGACGACCAGCCAGGACCCGGGGACTCAGTCTTACACTGAGAAAGGGAACTCTGCCAAGGCCTGAATGAGCCTGGGAGCGGAGTCTTTCCTGGAGCCTCTAGCTAGAGTCCAGTGGAGCCAGAGCTTAATACTGAGCCAGCGGAGCCCACCCAAAGCACACTGGGTAATAAACAGGTGTATCTTAATTATATTTGTGTTAATAAGGTTAAGATTTTCACATTTTTAGATTTTGTTTTCAAAAAAGAAAGTTATGTGTAGAGATGGGCCTTCAAGCTATTAAAGTGAAATGAAATGGTATTTTCTTAGGAACCAGGCAAAAGGTTGTCTTCATTTAAATAATTCACAAGAAAGGAAAAACACAAATATAACAGACGAACTGTCCGAAACAGATAATAATTCAAAACCGAAAAGCTGGTTTTAGATTTGTTATGTACTTACTTTATCATTAAGCCTGGAGAAGTCAGTGTATCTTCTGAAAACTACCCAGCTTTCTTCTGGGTTTTTCTTCACTTGTATCTTATATACCTACGAGGGGGGAGAGTTAGAGATACATGTAAAGATACTTAAACATTCAAATCAAGTATCTAAAAAACTTTTACTCGACAATCTAAGTCCTAACAATTACTATGTAAAAAATATCAGAAATGATTTAAAACGTGAAATGTACAAATATTTGATGTAGGCACCAAAAGCAAGGTTTTTTTTGTTTGTTTGTTTGTTTTTTAAAGAAACAAGACTATGATAAATTTATAGCAAAATGCCTTTTTTGGTGCTGACTAATAATAAGTGAACTTATCAGTTTCCAAATATATTTTATGCCACATATTTTAAAACTAATAAAAAGAATAATTCATGCTTAAAAAAGTTATGAAACACAGCTACTCTTGTCTTATATAATCAAATTAATTTTAAACTCAACACTTCAAGGCAAAGTTTTGAAATTTGATGTTTTAATCTTCAGAGCTGAAATACAAGCTAAAATATATCCACATTAGATAAAAGCTTACATTCCTATAATTTTGCATAATTATCTAGGCTATTGAATAGAAAAACTTGTTTGAAGCATATCACTATTTTACAAAGCTTACAGTAAGAAAAGCTAGATTCTATTTTTCATAAGAATAATTTCAGAGTTTATTATAAGTACTTTTTATAACAGAATCTCAAGGAAAGTGTGGTAGTTTCTGGTACAGTATTTTGGGCTAAGCTATGAGGACGACAACATCTGCCAAATGACTGACACTCTCCTGAAGGGTAACGTGTCCTGAGTGAGGCTGTGCACTCACTCTCCACCGTGGCTCTGAAGCTGCACTTCAGCGTGAGGCACTGGCCACTGAACATGACCAGTCCACGTCGACAGGGCGGACTGTACAGGCCGCACACCACCCTGGAGTCTCCCCCTTACAGACTGACTTCTCTTTTGGCTTTTAAGGGGAGAACATCAAGGGTTACAGATGAATCCTTTATGAAGTGAGGACCCTTTAAAGTGTCCAGAAAGTCCTGATTTGAGATAATCCTAAGGGGGATCAAAGGTCATAATGCCTGGCACTCAACAATACTCAAAAAATGTTAAATCAATGACTAAATGGACAGGACTAATCTTGTATCCATTCACACTCTTTGAGGTCTTGAAAGACTTTATATGCCACTGCCTTAAATTTGCATTTTCACACATCACCTCAATGAGTCAATGAGAGATTATGAACCATGGAGTTTATTATAATTTCAAAAATCACTCTAAAAAAGGTCAGGCCCGACCGGCTTGGCTCAGTGGTAGAACATCGACCTAATGAACCAAGAGTCCATGGTTTGATTCCCAGTAAGGGTGCAACCCGGGTTATGGGTCCGATCCTTAGCGTGGGGTGTGCAGGGGGCAGCCGATCAATGATTCTCTCTCATCATTGATGTTTTTATCTCTTCCTCTCCTTTCCTCTCTGAAATCAATAAAAATATAGTAAAAAATTAAAAAAACAACATCAGGTTCATGAAGATTTCTCTAGACATCATCACTCTTAAGATAATTTAATTGTAAAGATGGTTTCTTCATGAATTTTCTGAAGCAAGAAATGGCATACACATATTGAGGTATGGTAGCAATCATCTCAGGTAGAAACTGCAGTTTTAACTTTAACCCTGCTGTTTAGCTTCTGTACTTATCTGCTTGTTACAACAATAGAAAAGTTATTTTGATTTTCTGAACTTATGTATGCTATCCTAATCGATTGAATATTCCATGGTTGGCGGTTTGAATATCCCACTGATTGTGACCTTACTGGTTATCGAAGCACATTCTTCTGTACTGGGAACTTACCTGGGAACCAGGACAGCACAATTACGCTAAATTGCCTCAGTGGCTACAGATAATACGTTTCGGCTGACCCAGTGGTCTCAAGACTGGGACACCACAATTATTCTAAATTGCCTCAGTGGCTCCAGATAATGTGTTTCAGTTGACTCAATGGTCCCAAGACCCAAAACTATAATTAATCTTTATACATAACTAACTTGCTCAATTTCGCTTCTGTAATTGCTTTGTGCAAACCAGGTTCCTCATTCCAAACCCAAAGCTGTAATTGATACCTTTGTGACATTCTACTCTGTAAGCCAGAGAAGCAGCATTTCGGGCTGTGGAGCTGGAGCGCTGTTGCCCTTGTAGCCACCGGCCTTTGAATAAATGACTCCATAATCTGACTTTTTGAGGCGTCCCTTGTGAGATTCAGGGTACACTACAACAATATAAACTCTACCTCAAGGAAATCCAAGAGAAAGAACAAGCTATTTCAACTGATATGCGAATTAGCAAAGTTGCTGTATACATACATAACCAAAAAAATACAAAGTATCAAAGAAAAAAAAGAAAAAGCAATTGAGAATATCCAACATCCACAACTACACGTGAATCTAACCAAAAGATGGCAGACCTCTGCCCTGAACACCACAGATAGTCATTATAAAAAAAAAAATGACAAGGTAAATGGACTGAGTTCACAGGTTCAAACTCAGTAGTGTAAGATGTCAGTTTTGCCAGTTGGTCTGGGTTCGACCCAATCCCGAGGCCCAGAGCAGCCAGTCCTGAGAGCACCACAGCTGGAGCACGAGACGCCAGGCAGCAAGGCCTACGGGAAGCTTTCGTAATCAGGGCTGTGGCGTGCAAATGGGACCGGAAACAGACCACACTTTTATGGTCATCTGATCTGTATCAGAAGCAGCATGCAAATGCAGAGGAGGAGAGTCTTCTCAGTAGAAGCCTGCTCACTGGAACTCACACGGAGGAAGGTCTGACCCTGCCTCACAGCATGGAAAACACTTCATTCCTGATGGTTTTCAGATCTAAGTACGAAAGGTCCAACAATAAGGCTTTCAGAAGAAAACATAGGGCATTGTCCAGAGGGAGTAGGCAGATTTTAAAGTGCTGACTACATAAAAAAAAAGTTAATAGGCTGGACTATATTAAAAGTAAGAACCTTTATTTATCAAATGCATCATTAGGGAGTGAAAAGACAAAGCAGGGAGTTAGATGATATGATACATGTTCTGAAAAAACTTATGTCCAAAATGCATAGAAAACTACAAAGTAAAGTGGAAAAGGCTTCCCCATAGAAAAATGAACAAAGATCTTGAACAGACCCTTCACAAAAGAGAATATCCAAATGGCCAAAAATACCTTCAATTTAATTAGTCATTAAGAAATGCAAATTTAGACCACAATGTGATATCACTCTACCCATGAGAATCGCCAAATGGAAAAGATGGAAAACACGCTATGCTGGGAAGGTGTGGAGTAGCTGGAACTCTCATGTAAGCCTTCGAGAGTGTAAATTAGTACCACCTTTCTGGCACATGGTCTGTATCTTCTAAAGCTGGGTATATGGTCCAGCAAATTCAATCCTTGGCTGATATCAAACAGAAATGCATCTATGAGTTTACTGAGTGACAAGTACTAAAAGGTTCATAGCAGTCATATTTCCAAGAGCCTCAAACTGCTAATTATCCAAGTGCTCTGCAACTGGAGGATGGATCAACATTCACATATAGGAATAGTATCTGTACTAATAATAGAGGGATATGCAAATTGTCCAGGATGCCGTCACAGTAACGACCAAACAACAGAAGAGCAGGCTGCGTGGGGCAATCAGGTCAGCAGGGGGTTAGTGAGGGACGACCAAACTACTGAACAGCAGCCTGCCTGGGGCAAACAGGTTGGCAGTGGGGTGAGTGAGTGACAATCAAATGACTGAACAGCAGGCTGTGTAGGGCGACCAGGCTGGGGAAGGGGCAGTTGGGGGTGACAAGGTTGGTGGGGGGGGGGCACAGTTGGGAGACCAGGCTGATGGGGGGGAGGGGCAGTGAGGGGTGACAAGTAAGGGGTTACTAGGCCAGCGGGGGCGGGAATGGGGAGTTGGGGGTGACCAGGCCGGCAGGGGGCAGCAGTTGGGGGCAACCAGGCCAGCAGAGGGGCATAAGGGGCGACCAGGCTGGTGGGATATGGGGGAGGTAGTTAGGGGAGATCAGGCCAACAAGCAGAGCTGGTTAGGGGTGATCAGGCTGGCAGGGGAGGCAGTTGGGGCATCAGGCAGGCAGGCAGATGAGCAATTAGGAGCCAGCAGTCATGGATTGTAAGAGGGATGTCCGAATGTGTTTAGCCCCTATCCTGGGGATTGGGCCTAAACCGGCAGTTGGACATCCCCTGAGGGGTCCTGGATTGGAGAGAGTATAGGCTGCACTGAAGGGAACCCTGTATTTCGTGCACCGGGCCTCTAGTCAGTAATAAAAAAAGCTACCTAGAATTCCATGCAAGGTCAAGGAGGAGTCTCACAAACACAATGCTGACTTACGTAAAGTACAGACATAGGCAACATTAAAGTAGCCTGTCACGAGAGAGGGTGCTGACTGGAGGAGAGCTTGGTGCTGGTTCTGGATGCTAGTTACGTTTCTTTCTTGACCTGTGTGCTAATTTCAGATATAAATCTGGATTTGTGCCAATTCATTCAAGTAAGACAAAAGTTCCCTACAATGACAGAATTTAGAGTGTACAAACCACTTGAATTTCATCTTTAAGAAATGACAAGTACATACTAACATCAATCGATTTAACACAAGTGTAGAATAAAGCGAATCAGTCTGGTGTGCAGCAAAGGTCGATACTCACAGTAAATTTCGCTCTTTCTTCCATCACCTCATAGCCCAGAATAGTAGGAGTCGAAGGCCTATCTTCCAAATCTGCTGTTTCAGGATTCTGTTCTTCACTCTCTCTTGGTCTGGTGGAATACTCAATGCAAGAGTCTGCGTTTGTAAACTTAGTCCTGAGGAGGGGGCTGCTGCAGACGGAGGAAGCGCTGTCCCCCTGACCAGGGGCACTGGTCTGTCTCAGGGTTCCTGTGTGTGAGTCCTCCAGCTGGCCTTTGGAGGAGTTCGAGCTTGAGATGCTCCCCAAAGAGGAACTTCTTTGGTTCCTGCTGGTTGCGAAGCTGGCAGCAGAACTCCCTAAGGGCATGGGCACTGGGACATAAGGAGTTGCCATCTTCTTTGGGGCTTTGCCACAAATCTGCAAACTGCTGAGGCCACGCACTTAGAGAACAACTGGTGCGCAATCCATTCTTTTCTTCTTGGGAGTTTGCTATCTAAACATGAGAAGAACATATTGAAAGATGGGTTTTAATCTGCAGCATTATCCAAAAGAAAACACGGTGTTCATATCCATTTCTGTTAATTTTGTGGCACTTTATTGGAATGAAAACAGGCCCCAAATCTCTTCTTTTAACTGCACAATGTCAGCGCTAGGCACTCTCATTTGCAAGACAAAGAAAGCAGAACTACTCCCACCCTTTTTCTCACTCTATTTCTTTGGGACAGATTTTTGTAAAGTTTATTTCAACCTTCCTGAGGCTTTATTTTCTGCTTCCAGTCCAGACAGTACTATACAGGGCACAGGGAGGGAAGGAAAATTATTCACATCACCTTTTGACTTAATTAGTGAGATTCTAAAAACAAAAAAACAAAAACCCATCTACAAGGATAAAGTGAGCCAGAAGCTCAGATGCTACAAATATCAACTGCTCTTCAAGTAATAGGTCATTAAGCCCTGGATCAAATGCATCTGGGAAAACACCACAAACGTGGTCAAATTAAATCCAATAAGCCTCCAACGAACATGAAACGTATGGATTCCAAGTTTCGATGTTCTTCCTAGTTCCCGGATACCCACTGGCTCTGTGTCATATGCTGAGGGACAAACAGTTCTTTACAGCGCGCACCCTAACGTCTGCTGTCAGCAGACCCAGCTGATCTTATCTCAGAATGATTTCATAATAAGGCGAAGAAAGTTTATTTAATCACTAAGATGTCAAATAAGCTGAGAGCCGGTGGCACCTGCAGGCCAGCGAAGTGACAGCTGCGGGTGTGCCTGTCGGAGGCCACGGGCAGCGGTGAGAGGAGTGGGCAAGGGGCCGAAGGGCGAGTGTCAGCCCAGCACGTGCTGCGGCGGCCTCCCCGCCCGCGTCAGGACCCGAGCCCAGCGGGGTCCGGGCCCTCCGGTCCGCAGCCGTCCCCGCCCCGGCCCGCCCGGCGCCCGCCCCGGAGGCCGCGGACCCGGAGGCCGCGGCGCCGCCGCCGGCACGGGCGCTCCCCTCGCGCGGCCGCCCGGCGCCCAGACCCACCCGGAAGCCGCGGGCAGGTGCGGGCGAGCGGAGCCGCCGGCCGGTGACAGCCGTGGGCGTGAGGACAGCGGGGACGCCGGGCGCAGCCCGCCCCGCCGGGGTCCCGGCCCCACGACGGGCGCGCCCCCGCCGCCCTGCGGAGTAGGCGGGGGCCCGGGGCCCGCGGCGCCCTCCCTCCCGCGAGCCCGCCGCCCGCCACGGGCGCAGGTGTCCCCGCGCGGGCGCCCGGGCACTCCGCGGCCCGTGCCCACCTGAGCCTCTCCACCGGCCCTTCCAGCGCGCTTCCCGCGACGGCCACCCGGCCTCCGGCCCGAGCTCCGTCCCCACCCACGCCGCGCGGCCTCACGTGACCCGCAGCCTGCAGCGCCCGCCGCCCGCCCGGAGCCCGCGCCGCGGAGCGGGGGGCGGGGCGGCCACGCACCGGAAGCGACGTCACACGAGCCCCGCCCCCGGAGGCGGTGACAGGAGCTGGGCCGAGGCTCTGGCAGCTCGCTTGACCCTAGTTTGTGGTAAGACTTCTTTTGCCTCTGCCCTGCTTTATTTGTGTACATTTAGAGACACTCGGCTCGGTATCTAGTTTGCCCGACAAGGAAGGAGAAGGCGACCATTCCCGGGAGGAACTGAGGCCGACAGGGGGACTGGGCTCCCGCTTTGCATCATGGGACTTGTAGTCTGCACCAGCTTGGGCTGGTTCTGGCAGGTAAGAGGTGGTTTTCCAGATTTAGCAAGCTTTAATGGATGGCAATCGATTCCAAGAGTGGCAAGACACAGCTCTGCACTGCAGCCTGTTTGTCCTACATAATTCACAGGTTTTCATGGGCAGAGAACTGGAATTCTTTAGTGCTTGTCTGTTTTACCATTGGAAGCAATTTCAGCGCAAGTGATACAGCCTTGGACTTGTTAGGCGTGCACATCTGAAGAACTGAAAGGTTTTTCTGGAAAATTGTTCTTTGATAATCAAATACCAAAATGCGGACCAATTTACAGGTCTGTTTATCCTTAGAAGTGTGCAATTTGATATAAATTTCATCTAGTGATTTCCAAGGCTTTGCAATGTCTTTCCAAGACTGGAAAAAATTGATAGTTGTTACTACATAATGATCGTAGGAAGATCATCTGGCTTGTGGCATGGCAACGGTTTTGGGTTGATAATATTGTTCTTCCACTGTGAATGGAACATACAAAGAGAATTCTATAGAAACAGTAGACTAAAACATGAGGTAGTGCCGAAGCCGGTTTGGCTCAGTGGATAGAGCGTCGGCCTGCGGACTGAAAGGTCCCGGGTTCGATTCCAGTCAAGGGTGTGTACCTTGGTTGCGGGCACATCCCCAGTGGGGGGTGTGCAAGAGGCCGCTGATCGATGATTTTCTCTCATTGATGTTTCTAACTCTCTATCCCTCTTTCTTCCTCTCTGTAAAAAAATCAATAAAATATATTAAAAATATAAAAAATAAAATAAAACATGAGGCAGTTTTTGAGATAGGCTTGGCAGTCTTGCCCTGAGGTGGCAGTTGTATCCTGAGTTCTATAAGTGAAGAAGGGTGTAGAGAGAAAAGTAAAGATAAATGTGCCTGAGAACATTTCCATCACTTGTGGTTGCAAAAGATAACTGTGACGAGGAAAACCTGATAGGCCAAAATCAAGGAAGCCAAGGAAAACGAAACTTTCAAGAAGTAAAGGTGTCCAGATATCCCTGGAGGAAGAGAACAATATAGAAAAGGTCATTGAAATTGTTCAAGAACTTTCTTCACAGAAAAGATGCAAAAGGATAAACATACTATATGGGTCCTTCACCTACCAGAATATCTGCTATTAGTAAATGTCTAGATTTTACTTTCAGAAAATGAACTTAACGTCTTTTTAAAAAAATTAAAATTGTTTTAAAAATTTTGGTGTAATTGACATATAACATTATCTTAATTTCAGGTGTACAACATAAGTATTCTATGTTTATACATATTACGAATTGATCACAGTAAGTCTGGTTAACATTCGTCACCACACATAATCACAGGCATTTTTTTCATGTGATAAAGATGTTTGAGTTTTACTCTCTTAGCAGTTTTCAAGTATGCAATGCACACCTCACTTACTTATCTTATACCTGGGAGTTGTACCTTCTGGCCCCTTCATTCACTTCACTTGCCCTCTGCACCTTGCTTCTGGCAACCACCCATCTATTCTCTGTTTCTGTGAGTTTAGGATTTTGTTTTGTTTTTTAAATTCCACATGTAAGTGAAATGACACGGTATTTGTCTTTCTCTATCCAACTATTTCACTTAGCATGATGCCCTCAAAGTCCATCCATGTTCACATATGTCAAGATTTCATTATTTTTATGGCTGCATAGTATTTCATTTGAGTGTGTGTGTGTGTGTGTGTGTGTGTGTGTGTGTGTGGTGTGTGTGTGATAATTCCTTTATCCATTCATCCTTTGATGGACACTTGGAATGGTTATTATCAAAAAAGACAAGAAATAATAAGTGTTGGTGAGAACATAGACAAAAGGAAATCCTTGTTTGTGCTGTTGGTGAGATTGCAAATGGGCACAGCTACAGTGGAAAACATTATGGAAGTTCCTCAAAAAAACTTAAAAAATAACTACATATGATCCATTATTCTCACTTCTGGTTGCTTATTCAAAGGAAATAAAAATATGCATTTGAAAAGACATCATCATTGCAGCATTATTTACAATAGACAATATATGGAAACAACCTAAGTGCCCATCAAAGGATGAATGGATATAAAAATTTGATATAAATTTTATCTCATAATTTCCAAGGCTTTGTTTTCATATCTTTTCCATTTATTGTCTATTATAAATAAGAAATGAGGGTAAAAATATCACACCACAGCACAAGAAAGTATGTGCAATAGGCAGACATCTCCTGAGGTGGCTTCGTAGATTCCACATGTCCTTCTCTGGAACTGGTCCTTAAAGCCATGTTCATAATATGTCATTCTTATAATACACATTTATATATATATATATATATATATATATATATATATATATATATACATACACACACACACATATATATATATATATTGGTTCCAGAGAGGAAGGGAGGGGGATAGATAGAAACATCAATGATGGGAAAGAATCATTGATTGGCTGCCTCCCACAGGTCCTACACTGGGGATAAAGCCTACAACCTGGGCATGTGCCATGACTGGGAATTGAACCATGATCTCCTGGTTCATAGTTCTTAACCACTGAGCCATGCCAGCTGGGCTAACACATGTTTTTTTTTTTTTTTTTTTTTAAATATGTCATAGATGATGGTGTCCTTGGAGGACATTTGACCCATGCTGTGTCCAAAGATGCTGTCTCCTAGGAAATTAAAAGTGGGTGGGCTGGGGGAGACACGGGCTTGGAAGGCCCAAGTGCTGGGGCGATTCTGTGGTGAGAAGTTCCTCAGTGTTCTGCTGCGGAGGTCCCTGGTGTAGATGTGGTCCTTCCCCGTTCCTGTACTGTTTCTCAGAGTTCTTGAGATACCCTAGCGTTCTGTCAGTGGATTTGCTTTCTGCTTAAATCCAGCCAGAATTGGTTCTTTTGCTTATAACCAAAAATACAACTGAAATAGCAAGTTGGGACAAGGCAAACTGAATAAAAGTTGCAAAGGCTGATAAAATACAAACAATTTCTTCGCAATGATTTATGAATAAAACCACATAAAAAACAACTTGTTCAATTATTACTTTGGTGTCATTTCATAGATTCCTCAATTTGTGTATATTGGTTTCCGTAGACAGTGTTTCCATCATCTTACCATTTGGGTCTATGTTTCCCCTGGGCTTCATTTTCTTGCTGCCATGACATTGTGAGACTGCAGAGAAGGAGCCACATGATCCACTC